AACTTATCACCTTCTCTTAAAGTACAACAAATGATCTCTTCTTCCCATATCTCATCTCTTATCTATAAACATAACTTTAAAGCCTCATCATTTCAGTCCTGATGTTAGCAAAAGGTTCATTAAGGGTTACCAGAGATAACAACATACCTAGACCTTGACTAAAATAAATCAACTTTATAATCCTTTTACTGTTAACAATCTTGATCTTTAAACCCTTCAAATAATGTCCTAGAACTTGATTTCTTCTCATTTTTTCTTTGTCCCTTCTCATAAAATCCTTCAAAACCCTAACAGGTCTCTTTTGTAAATCCAATATAGGAAAGTTATCCAAGTCACTCTTTTGGTTTATTTGTGTTTAATTATTAAATACAAATACTCTTTTAATTATTAAGACATCAGCCAGTTCCATTTATGTATCCAGTGTTGCACTTTTTTCATATCATTCTTGTAGCCTGTCATTTTAAAATCCACTTTGAAACAGTTTTAGTCTTGTCCAGTAAAATGTGTTCTTCTGAAGGGGGGTGCCTAGACAGCCATTTCTCAGGGATGCTGTAATGGGAGCCACAGGTTGGACAGGGGAGGGGAGGGAAACATTATCGAAGCAGGAGAGATTTGCCCCCCTGCTACTGAAATGGCTCCAATTCCTAGGATTTTGCGAAGCTCTGCCAGAGAGCACAGCTCTGTTTCAAGAGGGACGGTCCCCAGAGCAGGCTGTGGCATCAGTACTCACAGGGTTGCTGGGCAGCCCCATTTCATGATCACTTCCGTGTCTCACGGGGCCTCAGCGGGGAGGCCGAGGCCGGTGGTGGGGCCAGGCTGCTGTCCGAGGAGCGCAGATGCTTAGCACCTTTGGCCTGGAAGCACCTTTTCTCTTCACCTTTGCACCCCCTCAGGGCAATTCCACCCTGCAGCCTCAGCCGCTTCTCTCCCATCCAGTTCCCAGCTGTTTCTTAAGCAGCTTCTGGACTTCCAGTCCGGATTGTGGTGGGTTGGAAAGGGGGTCAAGCTGGTGCTCAGTGTAGACCTGTAGACAGAACAAAAAGGAGAGTTTTGGGACCTAATTGTCCGAATGAAGGTTTAAAGACTCTGACACAGGTTTGTCGTTCTTATGTCCAAGCTGTGAAGCCATTAACTGAGGAAATGTGGACCAGCACAATCATATCATTAAGTGCAGGGTGGATCATAAATATTATGGATGATGATCTCCAAAATAAAATTTTCTATGATGAAAAACTTCTAAAAATAGAGAAATCTGTGCACTTGGTAGAGCCTAGCACATAGCATAGTAGAGATAACACAGAGCTGATGTCACCTGCTGGGTAATGAAATGTCTACAAGCAAGCAACCCAGCTCAGATGACACCAAGAACCCCACAGATAAAAAAATGCTTAGTGCATATTTTTCTGATGAGCATGCTTATTAGTAGCTGATTAAATCTTGCAAGTCTAAAAGTACATTCCCCTTTACAGTCCAGGAAACTAGGGAGGGTCCCTTCTGAGATATTTGTCACACCCACTTTCCTTCTGCAGGTTCAACTGCCTCTTATCAGACCATTGCCTAGTCTAGGGCTCTACCTCCTGTCTTCCAAGGTCATTCCCACATACCATTACAGGTACTTCCTTATCAGTCAATGGCTGAATGCCTCTAATTCCTGTTAGATTAAACTTGATAACTGCCTTGTTCCCTTGGGTCTGTTGTGTCCTTTATTTTCTTTAAGAGAGAATCTTTTGAGGGAACAAGACATATTGAGACAACTTTGGGCAGGCTTGGGGGAGAAGGGTCAGCATTTCTACAGATGAATTTATCTGTGAGTACATATGTGTCAGCCTTGCAAGTTAAACCAGAGAGGAAACATGGCCAGATGAGCTTATTGTAAGGTTACATTAACATAACCTTGCAAGTCTGAAAGTACATCTCTCTCCCCGTCTCCTTTACAGCCCAAGAAACTAGGGAGTGTCTCTTCTGAGCCTCTTGCCCCACCCACATTCCTGCTGTGGGCTAAGCTGCCTCTTATCCAACTGTTGCCCTGGCTGTGTCTCTTTGCCCTGCTCCCAAGGTCATTCCCACATACCATTACTTCACCCTCCCATTCAGACTGACCCCCCCCCCCCCCC